TGATGTGTGTTTGGTTGGGGAAGAAAAAAAGGATAGTAAAAAAAGTGGCTGGCCCATCCAATCATAGGTAAGAATATCAGCAACAAGCTGTTTATACTTCTTTAAGACAAATAGAATGGTGTCCTATGGTAGGGCAATGAGAATGAGGTAGAGAGAAGCATAGTTTTCATAGGATGTGGTCACACATCAGTTGTGGAGGAATAAGGGAGAGAGAGGTTTCTGGTTTAGGCATATAAGTAAGTGGTCATTATCTATCAAAGTAAGGAATATGATGGATATGAGATTGGTGAGAAAAACAGATGAGTCTTGGTTTGAACATGTAAATGTTGCAGTGCCTGGAGGTCACTTAGAGAGTATAGTACAGTACAGTACCATGCTTAAGGGTGGAGCTTAAACCTCCCTATCTGAATTCAGATTCTATCTTCATCAATTATTATTAGTTCCATGACTTGGAGTAGACTTAGTCTACTCTGCCTCAGGCATGTTGACCATAACATGGGCACAATAATGTTGATCTGCCTGAAAAGGTGATAATAAGGAACAGAGCCTTATCCACAGTAAGTGATTGCTACTCCTTATAGACTGGAGAAGCTGGATATGTAGGAATGGAGATAGTTAAATGGCTAAGCTGAAAATAGATCAATAAAGACATTTAGAAAAGTCCCAAAGAACATAGGAGCAAGTAAGTGGGATATTGAAGTGTGTGTGTGTGTGTGTGTGTGTGTGTGTTTGTGTGTGTACTGTAGTAGCAGCAGTAGCTGAAGTAGTAGTGGTAGTATTAGGGGGGAATTAAACATATAAAGCTCAAATTATGACTAGCCAGAAAATGATAGGTGGATCATGGTGGCTCACACCTGCAATGCCAGCACTTAGGAGGCTGAGACAGGAAGATTACAAGTTTGAGGCCAGTGTCAGCAATTTAGTGAGGCCCTGTTTCAAAATCCTAGTAGAAAGAAAGAAAAGAAAAGAAAAGAAAAGAAAGAAAGAAAGAAAGAAAGAAAGAAAGAAAGAAAGAAAGAAAGAAAGAAAGAAAGAAAGAAAAGAAAGAAGAAAGGAAGGAAGGAAGAAAGAAAGAAAGAAAATGATAGGTTTGTATAATGGTAATATAAAAGCTATTGATTTTCTTATCTTGCTGTAGTTTGAATTTTAAAAGTCCACTGACAGTCTATGCTGTTAGCACTATTGTGAGATAGTAAGAAGTAGGGCTCAGTGGTAGTTTAGGTTATTGCAAGCATGCCCTTGGAGGGGATAGTGGGACCATTCTCCTTCCTTTCTCTCTTCTACTTCCCAGCAAGAGGTGATTGGCTTTGCTCTGCCACTTGCTCTCACCATGGTATAATGCCTTGTCATAGGGCCAAAGCAACAGGATCAACCAATTATAGAAGAAAACTTCCAAAAGTATCATCCAGAATAAACCTTTCTCTTTTTAAGTTGATTATCTCAGGTATTTTCCACAGTGACAGAAACTAACACATATTGTAATTAGCATTTGAATTTTAATCAGTCAGCTATTTCTTCATAAAAGAGTTTGTTATAACCTGCTTTAAAAAATCAAAATTTTATCTGCTTATTCATTCCTATTTCTCAGCAATTTGGGCTGAGCTCAGATGGGAACTCTTCTGCTGGCCTTGCTGGGGTCACTCATCTGGCCGAAGTCACCTGACTGCTCTGTTGAGGCTAGATGGCCTCACTCATGTGTCCGGAGGTTGGGTCTCCCTGTTGGGTGGGAGTGTCTGTCATCCTCCTGGAGCAGTGTTCTCAGGGCAGCAATAATAAACTGGTCTTAATTAGAGGAGTGGCAAAGTCATTGCAAAGAGGCATTTGCACTAGCATTAAAAGAATTCTTGTAGCCATCTTTGAAAATTGTTGAACAATGCTCTGATAGCATGTTTCCCATGTCATTATTATATGCTTATCAAGTAGGACCTAGGATGTATAAAAATCTTCCTAACACTAACTATGGCCAGAACAAACTTGTGTGTGACACATTATTGGTGTGGTAAAGGTAAGAATGAGTGAGAGTATAGGTTGATCAAGATCTGTCCTTCCATGGGAATATGAGTAGCTGGCTACATGGATCAAGTGGTCATAGGGATAGACCTAGAACCCTGGGTTCTAGGTCTAGAACTCTGAGATCTAGAGAGAAGAAGGCAAAGCAGAATGATTGTGGATTTTCTCATTGGAGAAACTGAAATTGAACACAAAGAGTAGAACATATGAACACAAAGCTAAAAAGCCATGGGGAAACTGAGACAGTGGCTGTGGCATTTATAGCTCAGGTCCACTTACGAGTGGGTGTAACAGGCTGGCTTATACAACAAAATAGAAGTCAGGTACTTACTGTGGTGGTTGATAGGGGACTTGATATCAAAGAATGGTGCCAGACCTGATGATGTCCTGTTCCATGCTCTTAACTCCACTGGGGTCACTGAGGTTTCTCTTCTCTTCCCTCTTGTCATACATCAACTACAGCCAGTAGCTAAGTGGAAAGAGAAGCATTCACCATTTCAATAAGGAAGTGATGTTTTGTTTGGGATGTTTCTTTTATTTGCCATCACTATATCTACTCACACTTATCTTCACATCTCAGTGATAGCTGCACATTAGTGCAACCACTATGGAAAGCAGTATGGAAAGTCCTCAGAAAACTTGGAATGGAACCAACATTAGACCCAGTTATCCCTCTCCTTGGTATAGGCCCCAAAGACTTAAAATCTGCATGCTACAGTAACACAGCCACACCAATATTTATAACAGCTCAATTCACAATAGTTAAGTTATGGAACCACCTAGGCACCCTTCAACAGATGAATGAATGAAGAAAATGTGGTTATATGTACACAATGGGATATTACTCAGCCATAAAGAAGAGTGAAATTATGGCATTGGCCAGTAAATGAATGGAACTGAAGACCATCATGCTAAGTGAAATAAGCCAATCTCAAAACACCCAAAGACTAAATGTTCTCTCTGATATGGGAATGATAACACCTAATAATTGGGGGAGAAGAATAGATATTCATTGAATTAGACAAAGGAAAATGAAGGGAAGATGGGAAAGACAGTGGAATGAATCTAACTTTCCTATATTCATATATGAATATACGACCAGTGAAACTCCACATCATGTACAACTGCAAGAGTGAGATCCTAATTAAAATAAGTTATACTCTATATATGTATATATGTCAAAATATACTCTACAGTCTTGTATATCTAAAAAGAACAATTTTTTAGAAAGGTTAAAAAATAAAAGAAGGCAATTCAGTGACTTCCACACAAGGATCCAACAGTCATGCTACCCTTGGTATAGATGTTACATGTGTCCCTGTGCTATTAAGAACCACAAAAATTATGAAGAGACATTGGACAATTTTTTTCTTATTATTTTTTAAGGCAATAACATTCTTTGACCCCAAATCTTGTGGGAAACTTCTAGCTGGGGTGTCTGACTTTCAAAACTCTTTTCATTTTGGAATTTGAATTCAATTTAAAAATATGTTAAAGGGTCCATTGGAGCACAGCTCTAGCCTCAGACAGACTGAGATTATATACTTACAGAGATTGTGACTGTGGTGAAGATATTTAATCTCCCTCTACCTCAGTTTCCTTAAGTATAAATGAGCCAAACAACAGTATCTACCTCATATAGTAATTGCAATGGTTAAATCAGCAAATACAGGGATGGCTCTTAAAACAGTACTGACAATATTGTTAGCATTAAAAAAACTTATTATTATTGTGGCTGTTGACTTTTATATGTTACATAAGATATTTTGGAAAAATTACAGAAATATGTTCAAATTTTTTCATTTTTAAAATGCTCAGAGTTAAATTGGGGAAACAAACCATGTATATATAAAATATTCCTGGAGTAATCAAAAGGCCTTTTTTTAGAAGAATATATACTTGGACTATCCACTCTCATGAAATCTGAGGCTGATGAATATGAGAATAGATGATCAATGAGGGCATGGGTCATGTAGAAGAATGGTCTTTGAAGAGACTGAAGCAATGGCATTTGTTGGGGGTGGGTTGTAGCTCAATGGTGGAGTGCTTGCCTCACACATTTGAGGCACTGGGTTTGATCCTCAGCACCACATAAAAATTAAAAAAAATAAAGGTATTGTGTCCATCTACAACTAATGTATATAGAAATGGCATTTGTTGGGAGAACACATCTCTAGAACTGACAATAGCTTTAATTCCCCAGCCTCCCACTCCCCATGCTTGAATGTGCATGATGGGAAGTGAATGGTGTTTTCTATTATTCAAACTTGATTCTTTTGAAATATTCTCTTGCCTCACTTTTTAAGGGTGTGGTCCAAAAGTGCATTTACTGTCACCTTGACATAATACTATTCTACTCATCTTGGGTTGCTGTTTTCGCTGTCACTTCAATAGGTGAGCTTCCCATAACACTACTGACTTCTCTTTAAGGGAATTCGAGAGTTGATTCAAAGAAAACAGCAGCAGCTCTTCTTGGTGAAGAGGACACACTTCTTAAGCTGTAAATACTCTGCTTCCTTCACACACTCTGCCCAGATTCCGTTCTCTGCTAGATACATGTGTGATTCTACAATTCCATTTCTTTGCATGTCTGAAATTTTATGTGACAGCTTTAGTAGCAACTCCAAATTTTCAGTTTTCCCTTCCTAAAAGGTTCTAGAGATTTATTTACACTTCTAATCCAGTGACAAATAACTTTTGGCTCTTTATTCTCAAGATTTTAACACGTTGATGTGTTTTGGTGCAGTTTAACATACTGATGTACAAGAAAAATAAATGGTCCCTGTACTCTTTCTGTTGAGATTGATCTTTTTGTTACCCGAACTCTCCACTTTAATATACAATGGACATAGCACCAATTATCTTGCTAAAGATCAAGTCAGATCATGTCCTCCCCAATAAAAAATTTTAGTTTTTGACTTGCCCCCTCAGCTGCTTCTTGCTGGTCTTCTGTTATCAAAGACCATTGCTGTTTAGAAGCACTGAAATATTCACCACTTTTATATCAGTAAAAGGTTCTAAAAAGTAAGCTTTAAAACCCCTCATTTATTCAGTAAGTACATCCATACATTTGCTGTTTGTGGAACTCTAGATATGTCAGGACTTAATTAGAATTTCTTTATGAATCTGGTAGTACATTATGAGAGTACATGTTGAAAATTAGAGACATCTTCTCCAGCCTGGATGCCCCTCTATTATCTAGGGTTCTACTTAAATCATTTCCTTGAGTCTCAGCCTCACTGGGGGTGGCCTCACAGAATACAGGAATCCCAGATTCTGAAGGTCATACTGTGTACTTCTGGAACACCTGGGAGGCAGGGAAGGACAGCATGGATGCACCTGTCTAACTCTTGTTTTCTAGCTTGTACCAGTTACCAAAAATTTCTGTGTCTCAGATGCTTTCACTAAAAATTTTGATGGTAGTGTCTTCATTATGGGTTTCTGTTTTCTTAATAATTAAATAAGTTAAAGGCTGGGGAACTGGCTCAGTGGAAGAGTGCTTGCCTTTCCTGTGCAAGGTTCTAAGTTTGATCCTAGCACCACAGATACAAGAAAAGAATAAAAAAAGAATATCTAAAGCACTTACACCAGGGCCTGTCATGTCACTTATAAGTCAGCACCTGTAAGTGTTAGCTGCTATTATTACCATCATCATTATGTTTAGCTTTAATGAACACAGGACTAAAACGTGAGTGAATCAGAATTTGTCTGTTTGGCTTCAATGACTGTTGGTTTGTTGCATATAAAATTGCTTCCTGCTAGGCCCATTTACCTTAAGATTTAAGAATAGAATAAAAAGTCCTTTTAAAGTTCTCCTCCAGGAATCCAAGTTATTTTCATTTAAAGTTCATAACCAGTGTGTAACCAGGAGGGTGACGACTCCAGAAACATTAACATGAGAGGTTGAATTCTGCTTCCATACAAGGGCATGCTAGAAACCATGGGTCATATTACAAAAGCTGTATTGGGCAGGTTCACAATCTTCTGTTTGCCTGCTGGTGTTTGGACCTGTTATCAAGGCCATGTGGTTGGGAAGGACTCTACCCAGCTTAGGCATGTTTGTTCATATAGTACGTTCAGCCCCTCTCTCCGACTTCCTTACCCCACTGAGGGGTAAATGAAGGTTGTGTAAAGCTGTAGGAGTGCCTCTTCCTCCCAAACTACCTTCCCCCTTCCTCTGTTCCCCAGAAAGGCATGGGCCCCTCATTGCTCAGGAAGAACAAAGCAGAGGTGAGAGGCAGATAAGAAAGGTGTTATATTTGGCATGACTGGCTTAGGCTTAAGTTTGGGCCTAAATAGCCATTTAAGGTATTTTTTATATCCTTTGTGTATAGCTTGCTAGATTTGCATCCACATTCTGCTTTTAATTGAAGTTCAGTTAAGTACAACAAATATATTCTGATCTTGCATTATGATATCAGACTGGGCTCTATGGATATAGACTTAAAAAACAAAGGCAATCATGCCTATAATTCCAGCTACTCAGGAGGCTGAGGCAGAAAATTGCAAGTTTGAGGCAAGCCTGGGAAATTAGTGATACTCTGAAAAAATAAAAAAAAAATGTTCTGAGGATATACTTCAGAGGTTGAGCATTGCTGGGTTCAGTTCCCTGTACGAGAGAGAGAGAGAAAAGACAAGAGAGGAGAGGACAGGAGATACAGGGCCAACTACCTTGGATGTTCTAAGCCTTTTCCAAGAGACAATCCATTAACACAATGTGTTACATTCTATATTGGAAATATCCATGAAGAAATAGATATGAGTAGAAGAATGGCCCAAATGATTGACTGGAGGCAGTAGTGGTTGGCAGAGTAGTCAGAGAAAACATTTTTTAAGAGAAAATAGGAAGTCACTACATTTAAGATGATGAAATAAGCACATCAAGCAAAGGCAAGAGCTAAAGCTTAGAGATGCGAAGACACCTAGTTTATTCAGCTTATTTAAAAATAGTAGCTTGGAAATGCTCCAAATGTTTCCTAAGATTAACACATTGTTATTGCTATTTTACAGATGAGGAAACTCACATGCCCAGTGATATAGCCAGTACGCAACAAGAGTTGTTTAAGACTAAATAAATTTAAGTATTACTATACTACTTTCTAGATTGTCTTATTTTAGCCAAGATTAGTCATAAGAACCCCTTAGGGGATTTTTAGAGATATAAAGACCCAGGCTCTTCTCCTGGAGAGCCATTTACTGACTCCTCTTGGTTAAATGGCTCCTTCTATCCACTACCCCTTTGATCAAACCTGAGCCTTAGGAGCAGTTCATGACACTTTTTTCTTCTTTATCTTCCACATCTAATTCATCTCCAAATTCTTTCATTTCTCCATTGAGAATTCTTCCACTTCTTTCTTGACTTCCAGAACTAAAAATCCAACATGCCCAAACCAAGTGATCTCTCAATCTCCCTCCCAGCCCCCTTCTAATCCATATTCCAAATCAGAACCACAGTCATTGTATCGTTCT